ATCCCAATGGCTATTCCTATTAGCTTGCGTACTGAGAGTGAGGTTGTCTTGACCTACCCCAAGGAGCCTACCAAATAGAAAAAAGCATGTGATTATTAGAATAGCTAAGGAGTTCGAGGTTATGCCCCTGTGTGATGTTAGAGTCCCTAAGCCAATTGAAACTGTTCTAGGAGCTCGAGAGGGAGAGATGACTTTTTTTAGAGATACCCTTAACGCCGAGCTAAGGTGGCCTCTTCATCCCTTTTTCATTCACTTTCTGACGTCCTTTTATTTATGTCCAGGCCAATTGGTCCCTAAAGGGTAGAGGTTGTTAGTGTACTTTTTCATTTTATATAGATGCCTTGAGGTTGAACCTAGGCTTGACCTGTTAAGAATGGTCTTTGATATAAGTTCACTCCGAGGTACAACTGCTTTGTGTATTTGTCAACGAATGGGGGGTTTAGGACTCTATATACCCCAAGCTCTCTTCGAGGTTGTAAGGAATTATTCTTTTTTGTTAAACCCAAGACTCCGACCATCCCTTCAGCCCGAGGTACGAGATTTCTGATAAGGATAGGTTTAACGAGGGTCAAGCTTATTTTGAGGTTTTAGAATGAGATAGGCTAAGATTAGAGAATCACGACCCCTTGATAGAAAATATTGATTATCTTGTCGAGGATGACACCTTGACCTGGCAAACGTCAGAGGCCTCGAGGGTAAGGTCTTTTCTTCTTGTTCTTTTCTTACATTGTCCATGAACTATTGGTCGAGCTAAAGTGTTGTATCATTTTTTACGGATTTAGAGATGTCTTTCAACCCATCGAAGCTACTCACTAATGTCCACCATAAGGCCAAAGGCCTCGTTAAAGGAAAAGAAAAGGTCATGGAAGCCATGTCCAGGGCAGTCTCGAGCATAGTGGGCCAGACCTTGATGTCCAAAAGCCCAAACTCCCCGCCACAACCTATACCAAAACATCAAGTTCGAGCGTTAATACCTTGGAGAGATCCAAACGTCGTTGATGCTAGACTTGACCATATCCCCACGAGCTCGCTCGAGGAATATTCTGAGTGTGAGTTAATAAAGGAGATCATCAGAAAATATGAGAAGGACGTCGATCTCCACGAGGGAGTTAAAGCTCTCGATATCTTGACATTGAGGGTATGACTCGACTTATCCCAGTTTCAATCATTTTGTTCTTTTTTGATTGAACTAACGTCGAGTTTTCTAATTTTTTTTTGCAGTTGTTGAGTGTGGCCAGGGGCTTGACCTTGAATGGCTTTAACATCTCAAGCAAGCTGGAAAAGCTCGAGGTGGAGAATAAGTATGCAAAGAAATAGGCTCTCGAGCTCCAAAAAGATCGGGACGCTGTCGGGGCTAACCTTCGTAAGGCCCGGGATGAGATCGGTGTAGCAAGGGACGATGCTGAAGAGGGCAAGCTCGAACTCATGGAAGCCAAGAAGAGCTTTGAGAAAGAACTGGAGAGGGTTCGAGCTGAGGCTCGTGCTCAAGCGGTTGAGGATTTTAAAAAGTTTGACTAGTTCGGGACTCTTCTTGGCCAGTATAGGTCAGGTTCTTATCATTACGGGCTACGACTTGCTCGTTCCTTTTTGCGAAGGAAGCTCCCTAATGAGTTAGTGGTGGATTCAGCCTTAAGTTTGAACATGGTCTACAATACAAATATAAATGAATTTATCTTTAAAAAAACTGAGAAAAAAGTAGACATTTTCAGGGGTGGACATGGGCTGTAGCACGGTTGAGCCAGTGCCTGGATCCGCCAGTGCTGATGACCTTAAGTCAATGGTTGAGGAGCTTAAGATAGTGAACGAGCTTGCTGGTGAGCTCGAGCTTTAAGCTTCGAAGGTGGATGACGATGGCGATGATGAGGATCCCGACCATGGGGATGCTGCTACTCCCGTCAACCTGGACTAGTCATTTGTTATCGAACTTTTGTTTTTGTTTTTTGAGGATTGCAAGTATAATACCCGGTATTGGGCTTTAAACCTTTGTTTTTAATATGTAATCGATCGATGTTTATGCAATTTCACTTCTATGTTTGGTTCATAGATCACACACGTTACTTCGTTTCGTGTTCTGAGTTCATACTTTATACTCAAACGTTATGCATGATGGTTATAATTTTAATTCTGGACTATTAGCCCAAGCGTTCGTAAAGATCATGTTTCATAACCAATTAGCTCGTGTTCTATAAAAATGTTTGTCCCAAGCGTGTTGTAGCTCGAGGACGTTATATATTCATCTATTTTCTAACAAATAGTTCAAGTGAACGGTGATAGCTCGAGCATGAACAGTTATAGGAGGTTGTGAAAACAGATCACGCCTTTTGCTCTAGAGATTGAGTTTGGATTTTTAAGCTCGAGGATATCTATCTTCAAGCTTCTAGCATGTGTTCGTAATGTAAGTCATGTTTCGGACATCGAGCCCGAGTATAAAAATCGTGTACTGCAAACCATATGTGATTCTTTGAGTTCGAATGTTAAATGGCAGCCATTGGGTCGCTGTAGTTTATACAATTGAGCTCATGCTTGTCCGTTTGAAATTTTATTTTTCATTTGTTAACGAGCTCGGGTAAAATTGGTAAGACATGCCCGATCTCTACCTTGAAATTTCTCATTATCAAGGCAAATTAGGGTCAGGAAGGTCGGGGTCTTATGACCGGCCTGTTGACTTTTTGATGACTTAGAGTACTTTGCATACACATCATTATACAAAGGTATGACAGCATGTACGGGGAATGGTTTGGTGCTAATTGGTCGAGTATTAGTTGCATAAGCAGAGCACGACCTTATGCTAATTAGTTATGTGTTAGCTACATGCGCAGAGGACGACCTTATGCTAATTGATTAAGTATTAGCTGCGTACATGTAGCACGAACTTATGCTAATTGGTTATGTATTAGCTGGATGTGCGGAGTATAGCTTTATGCTAATTGATTAAGTATTAGCTGCATGCACGGAGCACAACCTTATGTTAATTGATTAAAAGGGAGAAACATCTATGTAAAAGATAACTTCTTATGATATTGTAGTAAAGAGCTCAAGGGTATTCGAACTTGAGCTTCCAAAAGCAAAAACTATTGGGGCGTACAAGTCCAAAAAGAAAAAAGAAAAAATGTAAAGATAAAGAAAATGAACTTATTGTGGGCATGCAAGCCCAAAAGGAAAAAAAATGTTATGGCTAGCTACTTGTAATAAATCTTTAGATTATTGGCATTTCATGGCCTTGGGAATGGTTTCCCGACGTGTCCCTGAGGCTGTGAGCTCTACCCTTCAATCTACGTATGACCTTGAAAGGTCATTCCCATGCTGGACCAAGCTTTCTTGGAGGATGATCGGCAACTTCTGCCTGTCTAAAGACTAGACCCCAACTCTGAACCTTCCCATCTTGACCTTGTTGTTCTAATTTGATAATTTATAGCTTTGAGGGAGGCCCACTCTCTCACTTCTTCAAGTAAGTCAAGATGTTTCGTGGTCATTTTCTCCATATTTGTCTCGAGCCTCCTTAAGTTGGTAGGCTAACTTCAATTGGGACGGTAGCTTCTAGTCCAAAGGCTAATAGAATGGTGTCTTACCAGTAGCTGTTTTATGTGATGTCCTATATGTCCAAAGTATGGATGGAAACTCATTAGGCCAGTCACTTTTAGCATTCCCAATCCTCGTTCGAAGATCTTGTAGTATGATTCGATTAGTTACTTCTGTGAAGCCATTACACTGTAGGTGCGACACGGAGGTCATGCAGTGATCAACCCTGAGATTGGCACAAAAATTTTTAATTGGGGATTGTCAAACTACCTCCCGTTATCCGTTACGAGGACTTTAGGTACTCCAAACCTGCATACAATGGACTTTCATATGAATGATCTGAGCTTAGGCTCCAATATTATTGCCAGGGATTCAGCTTCTACCTACTTAGTGAAGTATTCAACTGCTACGAGCACAAACTTTAATTTTCCTCTAGCCAAATGAAAAGGTCCAAGGACGTCAACTCCCCATTGTTTGAAAGGAGCTAAGTAAAGGATGGAAGTTAACTCTTCAGTAGGAGCATGTATGACATTGTTGAACTTCTGGCACTTGTCACACTTACGAACATAATTTACTGCATCTTTTTTCATGCTTGACCAATGATACCCATACTTTATCAGTTTATATGCGAGAGCTCGAGCTCCTTGATGGTTTTCACACATTTCTTCATGAATTTCAATCAAGGCTTAAAGAGACTCAGAATATTTGAGGCATCTTAGATAGGAGAGTGTGAAACTCCCGTGAAACAAAATTCTTCCAATGATACAGTACCTTGCTGTCCTAGATCGAATGCTTCTTGGAGTTCGAGGATCAGATGGTAGGTTTTCGCTTCTTACGTACTCCACTATTGGATCCATACAAGAGGGCTCATGATCAATATCCATGATGCTTATCTTTTAAGTTATGCTAGGCTTGGTTATCATCTTGATGTACACTGTTCTGTCAAGTCCATCTACTCCCATAAAAACAAGTCTGGACAGTGCATCAGCTTTGGCATTATCGACTCTGGCTACTTTTAGAATTTCATAACTGATAAACTCCTCCAAAGGTCATGTACTTTCAGACAATATAAACTCATCGTTTCATCCTTTCTTTTGAAAGAACCTTCAATCTGCCCAACCACTTGTTGTGAGTCACTGCAAATTTTGATATGCTCCAGCTCGAGATTTTTTTGTAAATTCAAGAGCTGTTATAATAGCTTCATACTCTGCCTCGTTGTTGATGGTCTTAAATTCAAATCTGAGTGCATATCGTATTTCTATGGTCCTGTCTGGGATAGTAACGATGACATCGACTCCTAAGCTCGAACTATTAGATGTCTCATCCACAAAGATCTCCCATATTTTGGAGGTCATGCTCGAGTCTTTATCTTTCGTCTCTTGGGACCTTGGGGTGAGTTCTACTATGAAATCGGACAAAGCTTGAACCTTAGTATTAAGTCACGGTTTGAACTCTATGTCAAATTCTCCAAGTTCAATTCCTCACTTTAACAATCTTCTTGAGACATTTGGCTTCTGAAATATATGTCTAAGGGATTGGTTGATGAGTACAACAATTGGATGTGACTGGAAGTATTGCCGTAGCTTTTTGGCAGCTACAACCAAAGCTAGAGCAAGCTGTTCGACAAGTGTGTATCGGGTTTTTGCATCAAGAAGTACCTTCTTACTTAATAGATAGGCTACTGGACCCTTCTTTTTTCCTTTACCAGCACTCAACTTACTGCATTTTGGAAAATAGCCAAATACAATAACATGTCACGGGGCTTCAGTTTGGTAAGAACTGGAGGTGTTGCTAATGCTTGCTTGAGCTCCTGAAAAGCTAAGTCGCATTCCTCGTTCCAATCAAAACCTTAATTTCTCCTAAGTGATTTGAAAAAGGGAAAATATTTGTCTGCTGCTTGGGAGAAAAACATGTTCAGTGCTTTTATGCGACCTGTCTCCATAGACATCAAAGCTTGGATTTTATCAGGATTAGCCTCTATTCCTTTGTGCGTGATCATAAAACCCAAGAACTTTCCTGATGCTACTCCAAATGCACATTTTGTAGGGTGTTGAGCTTCATGTTGTACCTCCGCAGCATGGTAAATACTTTTTCAAGATCAGAGATATGGTCATTTACTTACTTACTTTTAACCACCATATTGTCTACATACGCTTCGATCGTCTTTACAATCAGGTCAACAAAAACCTTGTTGATTAGCTTTTAATATGTTACCTTGGTATTCTTCAGTTCAAAAGGCAGGATTCGATAACGATATATGGTTAAGTCGGCCATGAATGAGGTCTTTTCTTGATTTTCTTCCACCATGAGTATTTGGTGATACCCTGAAAATGCATCCAATAAGCTATACAGCATATGACCCGACGTACTATCCACAAGATTGTAGATTCGAGGTAAGGGATAACTGTCTTTAGGGCATGCTTTATTCAATTTTGTGAAGTCAATGCAAACTCGATAATTTCTATTAGCCTTCTCGACAAAAACTATATTAGCAAGCCAATTAGGGTATTACACTTCTGAATGAACAGCGCATTAGTGAGCTTAGGAATATCTTCCTTTATGACTTCTCACCTTTCAGGGGCAAACTGCCTTTTCCTTTGCTTGACAGGTCTTGCCTATGGATTTACATTGAGTCTGTGCACTGTAAATTCTGGGTCAATCCCAGGCATGTCCTTGACATTCAAGGTGAATACGTTAATGTTTCGGGGGAGACAACTTATAAGTTTAGCCATGATTGCTACATCTAGCTCCCGTTCGATAGTCACTTTCCTGCTAAGCTCAAGCTCGACCTCAGTCAACCTCTCTATTGGAGCGAGTCTCCCATGATTTTCATGCTCGAGTTCGAGCTATGAAAGGTTCATGACATCGCCATTGATCTTTCGGACACTCGTCATATAACATTTTCTTGCCACTGTTTGGCTGCCTTGATTGCCCAAATCCCATTACTTGTAGGGAACTTTATAGCCAAGTGAAAGGTTGAGACAATAGCTCTGATTATTTTGAGCCGTGACCTTCCAAGTATGATGTTGTAGGCCATTGGAGTATGGACAACTTCAAAGGTTGTAATCTGAGTCACTTGCCTACCTTCCAATCTCAATGTCAAGGGCAACTTGACAAACCCTCTGAGCTGATGACTTTACCTCAAATCCCTAAAGAGATGTTTTGATCTGCTTGAGTTGTTCATTTGAGATACCTATTTGAACAAAAGCCGCATGAGACAATACATTAGCAATGCTTCCATTGTCTACCAAAATTCTCTTGACCTAAAAGTTGGCAATGATGGCCGATAGAACTAGAGCATCATCATGAGGAAATGATATGCCTTCTAAGTCCCTTGCCCCGAAAGTGATGTCCTTTGTAAAACCAAGATCTGTCCTTGAGACGGTTAGAGAATGCTTGGCATATTGCTTGTGCAAGCTGCTAGAATCTTTCCCCGTGGCCGTTTCTCTAATAATAATATTGATAGTGCCTGCAGTAGGCTGCTTGTTTCCCCGACTCTCTGGGGCCTTATCTTTGTTCTGATTGTTCTTTGGGCGCTTGTCATTGCTAAAGTAAGAGCCCAAAATCCTCTTTTTATAAGAGCTTCAATATCATGCTTCAAAGTAAAGTAATCCTCAGTTGTATACCCATGATCTTGATGAAAATCACAATACTTGCTATTGTCACGAGTATCGGGTGGAGACCACAATCTAGAAGGCCAATTAAGCTCTTTCAAGTCCTTAATCTCCATCAAAATGTTGGACCTCGATGTGTTTAAGCGGGTGAAGGATGTTGAGAGGGGGTCTTGTGTTGGCTTGACTTGAGGGGCATCTTGTCGCAGATTGGACTTATGTAGCCTTTTCTGATCGGACTTTTTGATGATGAAACTTCTTTTCTTGGGCCACGATTTCTTCCATGTTATGTATTTCTCGACTCGATGAGGAGCTCAATTACCTACTTTGGAGGAGTTTTGGATAAGGACATCTTGAATGTTTCACATCTTATGGCATATGTCAGAGCCGAGACTGCAGTTGTGATATGTAGATCGGGGATCTAAAGTCATTCGTTGTTAAAACTGGTCATGAAACTGCAAAGCATTTCACTGGGCCCTTGGCGCATCTGCATCTGTAATGCCACTGTCTTTCTGATTCGCTTACCACTTACAAAGAAAATGGAGAACTTATAAGCCAAATTTGAGAAAGGGATGATAGAGTTAGGTTCTAATGTGGAAAACCAATATCCGACCGCATTAGTGAGAGTCAAAGGAAAGGCCTTGCACATCACCGCATCTGGTACAACTTGTAAGTTCATAATATCTGCATACACATTAAAATGGTTGATGGGGTCGATTGTCCCATCATATTCCTTTATCTGATGATACTTGAACCTGTTCGGAAGGGGATATGAGAGAATTTCTGGGGTGAACGATGTATTGGGGGTGAATCCTGTTGTTACCTGAGTATTTTGTTACATACTCGTTGCTTTCTCTTCTTCAATAATCCTAGCGAGTTCAGCAGAGTCCATTGTAATAGACCTCGAGCCTAAGATCATTTGCGGTACACCTGAGGTTCCAACCTCACCATCACCATGAATTGTGCGTAGCACTCACGTTCGAGCATCCACTATAAAACCACCTTCAGGAGTTGGGGTATGCAACGGGTGAGAATTCCTCTAACTCAACAATTGGTCAGTGTGGCAACTTGCTGATGGAGCTCCTTAAAGGCTCCAGTGGTAACAATGGCTGGAGGAGGTGCTGGCATCTCGGATGATTCTTCTTAATGGACATGGCGTTCATCAGGAGGTGGAGGGTTGTCTGGAATGGATGAGCTTGTTGGAGGAAGACCTGAACTTCTATTAACCATGGCTTTTGGTAGCATTTCCCATAAACGGTACCAATGATGCTACCAAAAATCGTACCTGATCGACCTTGAACTTTATTCTTGAACTGCGAGCTTAGATGAACACGAATGATCTTTTGATGCCTGAAACAAAGGCAACGATGTGTGTTCTCGTCGCCCCTCCGATGCTTAAGTCAAATAGAAAATTTAGTGCGCAAGGCAATGAATTAGAAAATAATGAAAAAAAATACCTGTATAATAAGCATTGGCCCTGTATTTATAGGTGTTGGCAGTAGAGTTATAGAAGGATTCAGTCACGTATGATCCTTATCCTCATAGGTTAAGTTATTTGTGTTATATTTGGTGTTGTATTTTAATTTGAATTAAAATGTTATAAGCCAATAATAATATGTTTAAAGAGAACTAGGAACTATAGCTTAAGTAGGGTTAGTACTTCCCCAAGTCGTTGGGAAGAATAGAATCAAGAGACCTTAAACCCGACCCAAACAGGTGCAAGCCTGACCAAGAAACACTTGGACCTTAGATTTGTGGGTTTTGAGAAAGATTGAGGTCGGGCCTTTTAGGTCAAGCTCAAGGATTATTAGGTTTTGGGTCATCAGGGACAAAACTTGAATCACAAATTGATATATTGTCATCATTCAGACATTCAAAATAGCAACATCCATGTAAGAATTCAAACTATGAATTGATTAAACACAAAGGTTCATTGATGTCTCACAGCAGATAGTTATCTATATGGCAGCTGCAATTCCTACATTCGACTATACATAAAACATCCACGTTTGATGTCGAAAGGCCACAAAAAAGGACGGAGGCATCGTTGTGACAAAAAAGGATGGAGACGTCCAATGCCTGACGAGTATCACTTCTTTATGTTTGGTAATTGAATTTGAAATCATTTGACTGTATGGACTTTTATTTAGGGAATTGGGTTGTATTGGCCTTGTCTTGTTAGGGTTTGTTTTACTATTTAAATCTAGTTTGCGATGTAATTTATTTTAGTTGATGATTGAATAAAATTATTTTGGTGGCTTGTGGTAATTTCCTCTTATCCACTTTCTTCTTCTTCCCCTTAATTTCCTTTCGTATATAAATATGTTTATTTCTCCATTAATTGTCCAATCGGTACTGCATCAAATTTGCTATTAGAGCCGAAACTTGGGTAATTTCTCATCTCCAATCCAAAATTTCTTCCCTTCCTCTTCCAAAAAATAAAAAAAAAAGTTACCTGTGGAACACCACAAACAAAAATAATTATTGTGAGGCAACAATTTTTTTGTTCAATAAAATGAAAGACTTTGTTGTGGTAGTAGTTTCTTCTTTTTTCCATTTTTGTCCTTAGGTAAAAAGTGTGAAAAGAAAGTTACTATTCACAGGTACACTTCACACTCAAAGAAAAAAAGTGAGAAAAGGGTGGGAAAAAAATTTCTTTATCATCAAGAGCCATTTTTTCTGTGCTGCTCCTCAAATTTCGCAAATTGCTGTTTTCCAATGTCAATCTTGTTATCTAGATAGCATCCTAATCCAAGTCCCACAATCCTAATTCAACCCAAATTCTATTCAGCCCAGTAGTCTTCTAATTAACCCATTTCCACGAAGCCCAACACATAGGCCCAATAGCTAAAACTCTACCCATCACAATAGCAAACCTTAGCCCATTATATATAATACCCAACCAAGCCCAATTATTGACAACCTCAATTTCTTTATAACCCAAAGCCATTCTACCCACTTCCAAGCCCCATAAACACCAAAGCCAACCCAACTCTTCCAATTACTCCAAGCCCATTTACACACTTCACTGCACATTCTACCCGTCTCAATACTCTGTCTACAGCCCAATTCCACACCACTTCCAAAAGTCAATCCTCCACGTTGGCGTCCTCGAGCTGTGCAACTCGCCGATGCCACCCACGCCGAGAACCCTCAAATCTCAGACATCCTTTTCAATCAGACCTGATCCATCTCTTAAAACTCGAGTTTCGTCCACTCGCCTCCATCGCGCCATCAGCCATTTACTCTCCTCTATCAACCTTCGTCGCCACAAGCCGTCGCAACCAGCCACCACCCCACTTGCTAGCATCACTACCTACCCCTCCATCACACGCTCATAAGAACAACCTACCGTCACTCTAGCCATCACCGCCCGCCGTAGCCATCCGAGAACTCAACTGAAGATATTCAATTTCACTACAGCCACAAAATTCCACCAATCGCCCAACTCAACTGAAGATATTCAATTTCAAGAATCAGCTATTCAAAGGAATACCGAGAAGCCAGAGGCAATTTATTTGTGTAATAGATTGTTAGATATTATTGTGACAGTGCCTACACCACAACAGGACCAGAACCAAAAAAGTATAAATTAAAATTCACAAGCGTGAGTTCTAAAGTCGAAGACAACTGAAACGAGTGATAGAACATAAACATACCATGGGGTCCCATGTGTTGACAATTCAGACCAATCTAAATTTTGGGAGTTACAATCGAATTATAGAAAGTCACCATTATTATCTATCTTTGGTTTATACTGGTCCTTCATTTTAAAATCCCATCATTTACATTATTTTTGTTGCTGTTATTTGATAATTGTGGCCAACCTACTTGATCGAAATTCACGAATTAACTCTCATTGTTCCCCGATTACCCAACGTGATTAGACCTTTCGATTAGTCATTTGTACCCTTGCTTTTTATTTTCTTCGCATTAGCATTATTAGCTTGCCATGTTCGAACTTACGTAATCCTATCTCTTAAGTTAAATAAGAAAAAGAAAAATAATAAATTCAAATTGCTATTTTACTGTTGGCACTCATTGTTTATTGACGTCTATAACGCACTTCACCTAGCTAGTGTTACCGTGTATGCAATTGCATAGTGATCCCGTTACTACCTCTAGTGTTAGTACCCTTACCATGGACCCCTCTCAAATTGATGCTCTTACCCGTCAGTTGGCACAATTTGCCAATGGACAACAACAATTACTAAATCAATTAGCTGTTGTCTAAACTAAAGCAGTTGCTACTCGTGAGGAGAATAGAGCCCTAGTCGCTAAGTTGAACATCCTTGATCCAACCCCATATTTGATTGAAGCTGAAAACTTTGAAACGCCCATTAATAGACCTTATCGTCATCCACATTGTGGTCGATATCACGTTAGACATGATCGTAGGGATAGAAATTAGGTTCGTGAACAAGAA